AACCGGGGAATCGCTCCCCCCACCGCACCCGACGTAGGTATGGTGGTCGTGGTGATCAACGATGTGGAGGTTGTAGGGACCGATCCCGTGTCCCCCTCCGTTGTAGGTAGGTTTCCCTCTGCCCCGCTCATGATCACGTCAGATTCGGGACGATAGGAAGATTGAGAGTTCTAACAATATGTTGGATCCCCAAGCATCGAGAATAAATCCACGTTTTAAAGAAAAGCAAAATTTATTTCAAAGCGTTGGAAAGAGACTCAAACACGTTCTTTGTTAGAACTGACTACAAACGGTTAGGGCAAGCATAATAAAGGGATTTGAAACAGGTACAGAACCAATGGGTCACTTTCCCGCTGGCGGGTGAAAGGAAACGGTTGCGCGCTCATTCCCTGAGAACCAGGTTATCTCCAGACATAATACAAGTGCAGTTCCCAGGCTCTAAAAGCAACAAGCTGGCAGTAAAGCGTACTCCCCCAATACATCCTCCAGTTGTTTGGCTTAGGCATTACAGCAGAGTAAAATACAGGCGCACAGGCAGGGGGGGGTTAGCAACTGTACAGAGATACAACCAACACAGAACACCATGGCAGCTTGCTGACACCATGATAAAGGACAAAAATGGTAGGGATCTAAGAGAAGCAGAAGATATTAGGAAGATATGGCAAGAATACACAGAAGAACTATACAAGAAAGACCTCGATGTCCTTGACAACCACGAAAGTATAATCACTGACCTCGAGCCAGACATCCTGGAATGTGAAGGATCGCTTTCCACATGTCTTTTTGAAACACATACATTGGTGGAGGGTTCGAATGGCGCACGTTCACACAAGCAGCAGAATGAGATTGGGGCTTACATCGTTCTCTTCCATTGTATCCTCACAACAGCCGTGTGAGGTGGGCTAGGCTGTGTGTGTGTGACTGGCCCAAGGACGCCCAGCAAGCTTCCGTGGCAGAACAGGAATTCAAACCTGAGTCCCCCCAGATCCTGGTACGACACTCAAGCTACTGCACAACACTGGCTCTGATGTGACTGGTTACTAAGAAATAAAGAGCTCTGTGAATGCTCAGAGGCACTTTTTTGTTCTATTATTACATCATCTAGGAGTTGTGGCTCAGTAGTAGAGCACCTGCTTGGCATGCAGAAGGTCCCAGGTTCAATCCCTGGCATCTCCAGTCAAAAGGACCAGTTTGTCAGTGAGGGGAAAGACTCCAGCCTTGGGCTCTCAGCTCCATTTGTTGGCCTTTCAAGGCAACCCCTGGTCTGATCCAGGACGGCTCACTCACCTCCTGTGCAGCTTGATGGCTGGGAGCCAGCCCAACCCCACCCCCCCGAGCTGTGGGACCCTCCTCATTGTGCCCCCCCCAAGCACTTGCTTAGGAACTTGGGCAGAGAAACTGTCCCGTTTCTCTGTTGAATCCTCATAGGAATGCCTGACCATAAGAACAGACCAAAGGTAAAGGTAAAGGTTTCCCTTGCTCGAAAGCCAGTCGAATCCAACTCTAGGGGGCTCATCTCCGTTTCCAAGCCAAAGAGCCATATGACAATTATGGCTAATTTCTGAACCCACAAGTAAACGATACTCTATGAAATCACTAGCTCAGCCACTATAATAATTGCAGTGATGAATAGCTGCATCGATCAGCAATGCTTAACATTCTGGGCCCTTCCTCATTCTCATTTTCGTTGCTTGGGTATACCTATTACTTTGGGGTTTTCCCCCCTTTTCTGCATGTCTTTTGCTCCCTCTAGTGGTCAATTTGATATTACATCACTATATATCCTTGTAAAAAAACCCAAAACCCTGCAGATTTAAAGTGCATGGAAATAAGCCAGACACACAGAGATGTAATTGAATTGATCACTAGAGGAAGCAAACCACATGCAGAGAATGGGGGGGGGGGGAACCAACACAAGCGATGGAACTGAGAATGCGGAAGGGCCCTCTGTCTTATACACTTGTATCCTGCCCTTCCTCTGAGGAGCTCACAGCAACGTACATGGTTCTCCCGCCATCATTTTATCCTCATAAAAAGCTTGTCGGGTAGGTTAGATTGAGAGAGAATGAGTGGCCCAAGATCATATCATGAGCTGCACAGCAGAGTGAAGAAGCAGAGTAAACCCAGGTCTCCCAAATCTCAGTCCAACGCTCTCCTTGGTATGCTACACTGGAGTAGGAACATACCTGCCGTTTCTGAATGCACCATTTTCTATTGACCCATTGAGCATTACTTGGACTGTACCGCACGCTGCGTCTGCAAACTAAAACAAGTGCCGTTATTAGCTTTGATTGAAACAAGGGATAGTTGAAGAGTTTAAAACTGGCATTCATTTCTGCACAATAGTTTCCTAGAGTTGTCGACCCAGAAATAAGAACATCAGAAGAGCCCTGCTGAATCAGACCAATAGTCCATCTAGTCTAGCATCCTGTCTCACACAGCGGCCAACCAGTTCTTCTGGAGGGCCAACAACAGGGCAGAGAGGCCGAGGCCTTCCCTTGATGTTGTTTCCTGGCTATGTTCAACCACCCCTCACCTAGTTGGTAGCTGCAAAATCTGTTTTCACAAAAGGACAGCTAAAACACCTTCTAGTTGCTGTTAATTTCCTTTGTGTTTTTAAGGCTTCTTTCAGCCACTCCTTTGAAGCGAGGTATATTTCTCTGTCCTCTCGATCACTGACGGCACGCAAAAGCAAAACTGGCAGGCCTCATTCAGAGTCAGCATTCAAGTTGTAAGATTTGGTTTAGCTTCCCATTTAATTTATTAATTAGTATATTATGAAAGCATCATATATCTTAATATTATTGAGCAGGATGTCATAGAACATACCATCTTGGACACCATTTTCCAGTATACGGAACCAGGGTTGTTCTCACACTCGTTCCATTTTGGGCAGGAGTAGTAGTCAATTCCTAAAATGAATATATTTTGAACAAAAATATGAAATAGATTTATTGTGCCCTATGAAAAAGGAGACGGTAGGAGCAGAGCTTCAGTGCCATGTCTGCCTCTCAAGAGCCACTCTCGGCACCCTCACCTTCAGAGGTGAATAGGGACAGGGCGTTTTCTTGCCTTTGGAACCCCTTCCCCCTTGAGGTTTGACTGATACTGAAGGAGAAGAGCTAAAGTCATGGAGAAAGAAAAGTCCAAAGGGAACCATAGTTCAGCAGCCATTGTTGCCTTTTAACATCTAGCCACATGCACAGCTTTGCGATGGAACTACATCTTCAGCGCTGCTATACCACGGAGCAAGCTGGGACCGCTGTTTCCCACCATTGCAACAATTTGCCAGTGCACTAGCACAAAAGGGTGCAACCAGGGGTCATTTCCTGCAGGAGCGCACAGGAGCGGAGCTCTGGCAGTAAAGAGCTCAGGGGGCGGGCACATGCAACAAGCCCCACCCCCTGCTCCCAGCAGCCCTCAGTCAGAGCAAGAAGCAGCCAGGTAAGCTGCAGAGCACCCCCACTGGCCCACCGGTCCAAAACAGTCCAGTGGCACCTTAAGGCCAGGTTTTATTCAGGTACAAGCTCTCCCTCCTCTGCGAGGTCAGATCTGCACGTCCCCCCAATATTTAGCAATCCAAAACAGTCCAGTGGAGTGGTGGGTGTTGCCTTCTGACACTTCCAGTGACGTCAGGGGGTGTGGCATATGCAAATAAGTTATGCTAATGAGTTATGTTAATGAGCTCCTGCACCTCTTTTTCTACGAAATGACCCCTGTGTGCAACAACAGGGAAACCAGAAGGACAGAATGCATCAGCCATTATGCCTTGTCAAATGTCATCACAACTTTGCGAAATATGTGTTGTTTACCTACCGATATGCAAGACTGTGAAATAATCTGTTCTGAGAGATCGCCCTTCAGTCTTCTAATGGTTGGGGGCTCTCCTTGCAATCCCCCCCCAGGACTTACTCTCGTGTTCATTGTTCTTGACCCCCAGTTGCTGAATAGTGAGAGCCAGTTTGGTGTAGTGGTTAAGTGTCTGGACTCTAATCTGGGAGAACCGGGTTTGATTCCCCACTCCTCCACTTGCACCTGCTGATGTGACCTTGGGTCAGTCACAAGCTCTGGCACAGCTGTCCTTGAAAAAGCGCAGTTTGTGTCAGAGTTCTCTCAGCCCCACCCACCTCACAGGGTGTCTGTGGTGGGGAGGGGAAGGGAAAGGAGTTTGTAAGCCGCTCTGAGACTCCAAGTGAAGGGCGGGGTATAAATCCAATCTCTTCTTCTTCTTCTTCTTCTGAATCCTGTTTCAGCCAGGAGATCAATATTCCCCAACAATACCTACTTTAGAACAAAGTTTGAGTCCAGTGGAGGCACCTTTTGGACCAACAAAGTTTTATTCCTGGTATAAAGCTTCCGTGTGCGAAACGTATACCAGGAATAAAACTTTGTTGGTCCAAAAGGTGCCCCCACTGGACTCAGACTTTGTCCTGCTCCTTCGGACCGACACACGGCTGCCCACCCAAAAAGACCCACTTTAGTTTCCTTTAGGTGCCTGGCCCAGCCATATCTGTCCCCCCCAAGCTTTTAATTAGGGTTTTTATCTTACCAGGGGTTTTTTTAATGGTCTGCTTCTGTTTTACAGATAGTTTGTTTTGTCTGGCTGTCCAGGTCCGGACTTACCTGCCGGCTGGGCTATTTTTGGGGAGGAATGCAGGGTCAGAGTTGGCCACACACACTACAGCCAAAACCCCTGCGTGCGTGGCTACAGAGGGAAGGCCTGGAGAGCGACCCCCCCGGCGACTCTGAGGTGGGTGGGCCGGGGGGGCCCCCTGGAAGGATCGGGGAGGCATTTAAATGCCTCCCCGTGCCTTCCCTAGCCTGTCCAAGGGCCGGCCTCTGATCACAAGAAGCCCTCTTTCTTCACTTTCCTGGATACGATGAATGGCTGAAGTATCATTAAAAATCTTTTAAAAGGTGGCAATTTCAGATTAACCTGGGTTAGAACCTTAAATTAAGCAAAGGTATTAAGAAAGCATCATCCATCTAAACATTTTTCATCCTATCCTTCCTTGAAGGGTCCTAAGAGCAGTGTATGTGATGCTCCCCCATCCCGAGCGTTATATCTGCACAGCACCCGGGGAAGTCCTTAGCGATTCTGGGGCTCTGTGCAGAAGTCCAGGATGGGGCCCCATGATGGCCCCCCAACACTACCACCCCCTCCCGCCAGGGCCTTTATCCTGTGAAAAGTGGGCGGGAGCCCCCCCTCCCCATCACCAGAAACCAGTTGCCTGATCCCCAGATGGGGAATACAACCAGAGAGAACCACGGAAGAAGATTACACAACAAGAACAACAGAACATGGAGAATAATGAAAACAAATAGGCAAAGAATCTCTCCTATATAATAATTGTGTTTTGGGGTGGCAAGATTTGATGCGTGCCAAAATCAGTTGGCTGCCTGAACTGCCACTCAGAAATGGGTCCCTGATCACTGGCTGCATTGCCTTCATCCTGCCGACAGAAGTACTGCCCAGTGTCTTGGCCACAGTGTGCTGGGAGCTGACGGATGGCATGGATGCTCCAGTGGGTGGAGGGTCCAGAGGCTGAGGGAGGTAGAGGATGATGGGGCCCCATATTTCGTCCCATAATGTATTTTGTCCCATAATGGGCTGGCTTCTGAGGTCTCTGAGAGGCCTACGGGAGGGCTGGGTGGTGTGGGGCCTCTCCTTCAGTGCCACCCCACACATCGCTGGCCTGTCTTGGCCCCTTTGCTTCTAAAGCCGCTGGGAGGGCTGGGTGGTGTGGGGCCTCTCCTTCGGTGGCACACTGCCCATCGCTGGCCCCTCTTCACCCTCCCTCCCCGCTTTCTGAAGCCGCTGGGAGGGCCGGGTGGCGTGGAGCCTCTCTTTTGGCAGAGTGCTGCCCATCGCCGGCCCGTCTTCAACCCCCACCTGCCTTTTATATGGTATCTGTGGGCTACAGCTGCAGGCAGGAGCACTCTCCCAGGCCCTCTCTAGAGCTCGTTTCATTTATTTCTGCAACAGGCCTTATTACTAGTACATTATATATGTGAGCGTAGATGAAAATACATACTTTTCAGCATTCAAATACAGTATCAACATTCAAAGTGAACATTACATGTAAAAGTCCGAATCCATATCAAGCAAGCCATTACAGTCAACTTGAAATAAAGTTGTTTGTAGAGATAAAGTGCTTGTGTGTGCGATTCTTATCAATAATATATATTTTTAATTTATTTTATTTATTCGGGTATTTCTACCCCGCCCTACCCCGCGAACGGGCTCAGGGCGGCTTACAGAGGCGGCTTACAGAATGTTCCTTCTTCCTTTAACGATAACGTTGACTTGGAAATCGTTTCACAAAATGCTTCTTCAGAAGAGAATGCAGGATCAAAAGATTCACGAGTCCAGAGAGCAATATTGCTCCAGCTTCACTGCTTGGTGTGAAACTGACTTTGTTGAACTCTCTGGTCCTGAAGCTTCTTGGTCCTGTAAATTTAAATTCTTTCTACTTCAAACCCTTGGGAATGGAATGAAAGCCTTGTCCTCCGGCCAGCCCAGTACAAAAACTAACAAAAGCCCTGGAATCTTTTTCTTGTAAAGAATAAGAAGTTCTTCTTACCGGGAGCACTGGAGATTCCACACCACGACATTCCATCTGCTATATAGCCCAGCAAGGTGTCCTCCAGCGTAAGGAAATCACGATTCGCTTTCGTGTAACGATGTACAAGGTTATTGGTCTTGCTCCAAAACAGTGACTGTAAGTAAAAAGGCCATGCTGAATTGATTGCATCATTCGAACCTTGATGACAAATAGACTTATGTTATCTGTAGCCCAAGGGAGGAGGAGGAGAAGAGGAGAGGAGATTGGATTTACACACCACTCTTCACTACCCAAAAGAGTCTCAGACAAAGCTTTTTTTGTAGAAAAAGCCCAGCAGGAACTCATTAGCATAATAGGCCACACCCAACAGCAGAAACTCATTAGCATATTAGGCCACACCCCTGACAGCACAGCTCATTAGCACATTAGGCCGCACCCCCATGTTACCAGAAGTGTGCTCATCCAGCCACGCCCACCTTTTGCTTGTTATTCTGTTTACCTTGTTTATTGTCAAAACCTAGGGCTTTTTTGTAGCAGGAACTCCTTTGCATGTTAGGCCACACACCCCTAATGTAGCCAATCCTAATGAGTTTCTGCTGTTGGGTGTGGCCTATTATGCTAATTAGTTCCTGCTGGGTGTGGCCAACTTGGGAGCCAGCCGGAACTCCGTTCCTGTGTGTTCCTGCCCCAAAATAGCCCTGGTCTCAGAGCAGTTTACAATCCCTTTCCCTTCCCCTCCCCACAGCAGACACCCTGTGAGGTAGGTGGGGCTGAGAGAGCTCTCTCAAGAACTGCTCTTGAGAGAGCAGCTCTGAAAGAACTTATGACTGACCCAAGGTCACACTAGCAGCTGCATGTGGAGAAGTGGGGAATCAAACCTGGTTCTCCCGGATTAGCGTCCGCACTCCTAACCACTACTCCAAACTGGCTGTTGATGGGTCATGATAACCTTACCCTACATCACTAAATATATTAATACAATCTTACGGCCTGACCTGGCTAGCCCAGGCTAGCTTGATATCCTCGGATCTCGGAAGCTAACCAGGGTCAGCCATGGTCATTACTTGGTGGTTGTGAGATACAGAACTTACTGGGCCAAGTGCGTCAGTGGAGGCATTTGCTCAGGGCTTGTTCAAGGTATTTTGTCACCCAAGCAAGGTAGTGCGGTATTATAACTCTGATATTAAACCACATACTTTATCATGGGCTGCTTCCTTCCCAAGGCTTTCATTTCAAGGCACTTCCCACAGCTGCCAAAAACTGGTCCTCTGATAGGGATGCCTGCCTCCAGGTGGGACCTGGGTATCCCCTAGAATGACAGTTTATCTATAGACTACAGACAGGGGCAGATTAACCAAGAAGCGGACTGAGCAGGTGCTTAGGGCACCAGGGCCAAAGGGGGCGCCACAAAGTTGGGAAAAGGGTAAAAAGCTTAGTTTGTACAGTTTATTGTGTTATCCTATGAATAATTTTTTGTATTGCTGCAACCTGCATTGTATATCTGGTCAGACAAGTCAACCACTAAAATGGACTGGGGGTCAGTGTGGAAAGGGAGGGGCACCAAGATGGGTCAGTGCCGAGGGCACCCGTGAGCTAGCTCACATTTTTTTAGCCTCTGGCTCACACATTTTTGTCTTAGCTCAGGAAGGGCTAAAGGCTCCAGAGCAAACTAATTTATGCAGCAGCCAGGTCAGTCGCTCACAACTTTAATGCCAGTAGCTCACCAAATAGGATTCTTGCTCACAAAGCTCCACAGCTTAGAGGGAGCATTGGTCTCTACCCCCAAACCTCCAGGAGTTTCCCAGCCTGGAGCTGGCACCCCTCTGCCCACCACTGGTGGCCCGGGGAGGGGGGGGGACACCTGGCAACCCTGCATGCCAAACTAGCACAGACTTTCTTTTCCAGACTAGCACAGAATCTCCCTGTCATGAGGAAACCAAGTCATAACCAGGGCCGGATTAGCCATGAAGCAGACTAAGCAGGTGCTCAGGACACCAGGGCCAAAGGGGGCACCACAAAGTTGGGGAAAGGGTGAAAAGAAAAAAGAAACGAATGAAGATTTGTTAAAAAAAATGATAAAATTGATAAAACTAGTGCAAATTGATCATGGTGCACCCTAGGGTTATCTTCTATTTTTTGTTGGCGAGGTGCAGTGTCACAGGCTATGTTTAAAACTAAAATGCATGTGTTTAAAAGTAAAACGATGGAGCTAAATTCAGTTGTCATGATTGGTCAGTGCTTAGGGCACCTGTGAGCCTTCATCCGCCCCTGGTCATAACCGAGCCCTACCAAGTTCCATACCGCTGTCAGCCAACTGAAAATGGATTTTTCTACTCACGCGCCCTTTCTTTAAACTTAACTCTTACTCACTTGTGTATTTTCTATTAATGTATTATTTCTCAAGTTTTCTGAAGTCCATTCTTTCCACCAAGCACTAACTCCCCCAACCCACAGGCCAAAGCCCAAGCCCCATTCCTCCGCGTCTTTCACTTTCACCTCTCCCCCAACTGATTTCAGTTTTTAGTTCATTTCCAAAAGCTCAAAGCATTCAGCTGTGCAGGAGTTGCAGTCTTAGGGCCCGAGAGACTCAGCTGTATGCTGGGAGAAGCAGCAGGAAACAACATCACTCAACCGTGGGGAGGTTGTTGTGATTCTGGTTGCCATCCTCTGGGTGGGGCCTGGAGTTCTCCCAGGATTTTAACAGATCTCCAAGCTACAAAGATTAGGTCCCCTGGAGGAAATGGGTGGATTCTGCAGAATGACATGAGGTCTGTCCCCTCCCCAACCCCCTCCTACCCAGAGCTGGCAACCCTAACCACAAGGAAAACCCACATAGTCTTTAACAACACTGTAATGTATTGAGCCTAGACCATACTTTGTCTGATGCTTAATTTGGACAGAGCTTGAGGATCCATAACAATAGCTGACTTGGAGCCTAGAGTGGACCGATAGGGAGACAGGGATCCTAAAGTAAACCAATGGGATAACAATGTAGTGTAAATAGCCTATCATGGGAGTGTGTGTGTGTGTGTGTTTGGGGTGTAACCTTTTGTTGTTGTTGTTCGGTCGCACAGTCGAGTCCGACTCTTTGCGACCCCATGGACCAGCTCCCTCCAGGCCTTCCGGTCTTCCGCCATCCTCTGAAGTTTGCTCAACTTCATGTTCGTTGCATCGATGACACTGTCTAACCATCTCATCCTTTGCCGTCCCCGTCTTCTTTGACCTTCAATCTTTCCCAGCATCAGGGTCTTCTCCAGTGAGTGCTCCCTTCTCATTTGGTGGCCAAAGTATTTTAGCTTCAGTTTCATTATCTGGCCTTCCAGGGAACAGTCAGGGTTGATTTCTTTGAGGATTGACTGATTTGTTCTTCTTGCAGTCCAAGGGTTGATTTCTTTGAGGATTGACTGATTTGTTCTTCTTGCAGTCCAAGGGACTCTCAAGAGTCTTCTCCAGCACCATAGTTCAAAAGAATCTATTCTTCTGCGCTCAGCCTTCCTTATAGTCCAACTCTCGCAGCCATACATGACTACTGGGAATACCATTGCTTTGACCATGCGGACTTTTGTTGGCAGGGTGATGTCTCTACTTTTTATCATGCTGTTTAGGTTCGCCATCGCTTTCCTCCCAAGGAGCAGGCGTCTTTTAATTTCATGACTGCTGTCACAGTCTGCGGTGATCTGGGATCCCAGGAACGTGAAGTCTGTCACTACTTCCACAGCTTCCCCTTCTATTTGCCAAGGAGTGATGGGGCCGGATGCCATGATCTTAGTTTTTTTGATGTTGAGCTTCAAGCCCACTTTTGCGCTCTCCTCTTTTACCCTGAGCAAGAGGCTCTTGAGGTCCTCTTCACTTTCTGCCATCAGAGTGGTATCGTCTGCATATCTGAGGTTGTTGATCTTTTCCCCAGCAATCTTAATTCCCGCTTGTGATTCATCCAGGCCAGCATTTCGCATGATGTACTCTGCATATATATTAAATAAGCAAGGCGACAATATACATCCTTGTCGTACTCCTTTTCCTATGCTGAACCAATCAGTTGTTCCATATCCGGTTCTAACTGTCGCTTCTTGGCCCTTATACAGGTTTCTCAAGAGACATGTGAGGTGGTCTGGTACTCCCATCTCTTTAAGGCCCTGCCATAGTTTGTTGTGATCCACACAGTCAAAGGCTTTAGCATAGTCAATGAAGCAGAAGTAGATATTTTTCTGGTACTCTCTTGCTTTCTCCATAATCCAGCGAATGTTGGCAATTTGATCTCTAGTTCCTCTACCTCTTCGAAACCCAGCTTGTACTTCTGGTAGTTCTCTATCCACGTACTGTTGAAGCCTAGCTTGTAGGATCTTGAGCATGACCTTGCTAGCGTGTGATATGAGTGCAATTGTGCGATAGTTTGAACATTCCTTGGCATTGCCCTTCTTTGGGATTGGAATGTATACTGACCTTTTCCAATCCTGTGGCCACTGTTGCGTTTTCCAAATTTGCTGGCAAATGGAGTGCAGAACTTTAACAGCATCCTCTTCTAAGACTTTGAATAGCTCAGCTGGGATACCATCACCTCCACTAGCTTTGTTGTTAGTAATGCTTTCTAAGGCCCATTTAACTTCACATTCCAGGATGTCTGGCTCGAGGTCAGTGATTATACCGTCGTGGTTGTCAAGGACATCGAGGTCTTTCTTGTATAGTTCTTCTGTGTATTCTTGCCATCTTTTCCTAATCTCTTCTGCTTCTGTTAGGTCCCTACCGTTTTTGTCCTTTATCATGGCCAGCTTTGCATGGAACGCTCCCTTGATTTCTCCAATTTTCTTGAAGAGATCTCTAGTCCTTCCCATTCTATTGTTTTCTTCTATTACTTTGCACTGTTCATTCAGGAAGGCCTCCTTATCTCTCCTTGCTGTTCTCTGGAAATCTGCGTTCAGTTGGGTAAATCTTTCCTTTTCGCCTTTGCCTTTCGCTTTCCTTCTTTCCTCTGCTATTTGTAAAGCCTCATCAGAAAGCCACTTTGCTTTCTTACATTTCTTTTTCTTTGGGATGGTGGTGATTGCTGCCTCCTGTACGATGTCACGAACCTCTGTCCATAGTTCTTCAGGCACTCTATCTATCAAATCCAGACCCTTGAATCTATTCTTCACCTCTACTGTATATTCATCAGGGATGCGATCTAGGTCAAACCTGAATGGCCTCGTGGTTTTCCCAATTTTCTTCAGTTTAAGTCTGAATTTTGCAATGAGTAGCTCATGATCTGAACCACAGTCAGCTCCAGGTCTTGTTTTTACTGACTGGATAGAGCTTCTCCATCTTTGACTGCAAATTATATAGTCAATCTGATTTCGGTGTTGCCCATCTGGTGATGTCCATGTGTAGAGTCGCCTCTTAGGTTGTTGGAAAAGGGTGTTCGCTATGACCAGTGTGTTCTCTTGACAAAACTCTGTTAACCTTTGCCCTGCTTCATTTTGCTTTCCAAGGCCAAACTTGTCTGTTATTCCAGTTACCTTTTGACTTCCTACTTTAGCATTCCAGTCCCCTATGATGATGAGGACATCATTTTTTGGTGTTAGTTCTAGGAGGTGTTGTAGGTCTTCATAGAACCGGTCCACTTCAGCCTCTTCTGCATCAGTGGTTGGGGCATACACTTGAATTACTGTGATGTTGAATGGTTTGCCTTGGAATCGGACAGAAATCATTCTGTCATTTTTGAGATTGTATCCCAGTACCCAATACTGATTTTTGTACTCTCTTGTTGACTATAAAGGCCACACCATTTTTTCTACGAGATTCTTGGCCACAGTAGTGGTCTTCTGAGTTAAATTCGCCCATTCCTGTCCACTTTAGTTCACTGATTCCTAAGATATCGATGTTCAGTCTTGCCATTTCATTTTTGACCACGTCAAGCTTGCCTTGATTCATAGATCTTACATTCCAGGTTCCTATGCAGTATTGTTCTTTGCAGCATCGGACTTTCCTTTCACCATCAGACACATCCACAACTGAGCGTCCTTTCGGCTTTGGCCCAGCCGCTTCACTCTTTCTGGGGTTACTTGTACTTGCCCTCTGCTCTTCCTCAGTAGCATATTGGACACCTTCCGACCTGAGGGGCTCATCTTCCGGCGTCATATCTTTTAGCCTTTTGATACCGTCCATGGGGTTTTCTTGGCAAACATACTGGAGTGGGTTGCCATTTCCTTCTCCAGGTGGATCACGCTTGGTCTGAGTTCTCTGCTGTGGCCTGTCCGTCTTGGGTGGCCCTTCACGGCATAGCCCACAGCTTCATTGAACTGCGCAAGCCCCCTCGCCACGACAAGGCAGTGATCCATGAGGGGGAACATCAACTCTAGTGTACTTGGCTTCGGTCAGGGATTCTCAGTCTTCTTTCTACTTGCTGAAATCACTAATAAACTATGAGCTGATCACTCTACGCGTCTCGAGCCCAGTTTATTTCAAACATAAAGCCCAACAATAGGCAAAGTTGAATGAAACAAAAATAGCCTTAGTTGGCATGTAAATCGAAAGAGGATTACAAGTAGATCTCATTTTCTTTTTAGACTCCCCCATTGTCTCCATCCACTATAGTCTGGTGTCAACAGTGTGAGATGCACCGCACCCCATTCCTCATACCTAATGAGCCACAAAGCCCTCAGGGCGAGGCTTGAGAGAAGGGCTTCACTCCCCCACCCAAGTGGGGTTGCCAGCTCTGGGTTGGGAAATATTTGGGGGTGGGGCCTGGGGAGGGTGGGGTTTGGGGAGGGACCTCATCAGGGTACAATGCCAAAGAGCCCATCCTCCAAAGCAGTCATTTTCTCCAGGGGAACTGATCTTGGTCATCTGGAGATCAATTGTAATAGCGGGAGATCTCCAAGAGTTACCTGGAGGTTGGCAACCCCACATCCAAGACAGCCAGTGTGCTTTCATCCTGGGTACTGCCGCCTGGGATGGAAAGTAGCCAGGTGGCTGGGGGGGAGGGGGAGAAGGGCTTTCCGCTCCCCTCCCTTCAAGCCACCCAGCGTGCTTTCATCCTGGGCACTGCTGTTTGGGATGGAAAGTAGTTGGTTAGCTGGGGGTGGGTAGGTGAGAGGAGAAGGGCTTTACTCCTGCCCCCATTTCAAGCCAGCCAGACTGCTTTTGTCCTGGATGCTGCTGCTCGGGACAGAAAGTAGCCAGCTGGTGGAGAGGGGGGCTATGGAAGGCTTTGCACCTACATTCAAACCAGCCACTTGCTTTGGTCCCCAGGCGGCTCCAGCAGCAGCTCGGGAACAAGATGATGCCAGTGTCAAAGAAGAGAAGAAGAAGAGATTGGATTTATACCTCGCCCTTCACTACCCAAGGGAGTCTCAGAGCGGCTGACAAACGCCTTTCCCTTCCCCTCCCCACAACAGACACCCCGTGAGGTAGGTGGGGCTGAGAGAGCTCTGACAGAAACTGCTCTTTTTCAAGAACAGCTCTTATCAGAGCTATGGCTTGCCCAAGGTCATCCAGCAGGTGCAAGTGGAGGAGTGGGGAATCAAACCCGGTTCTTCCAGATTAGATCCCACGCACCTAACCACTACACCAAACTGACTCTGCTTAGTTTCCCATGAGGGGAAGGGGGGGAGGGAAATTCCTGAGGGCAGGGGGTAGTGTTTGGCTAAGTGTGTGAACCGCACTATTGTAGGCTGTAACTTTTCCTGAAGACACCTTCCTCCCTGAGAAACGTCCTTGAGCTTAAGTCTATGCCAGCTTGCTATGTAGATAATGGAACCGTATATTTCCCAGGTGGGGTGGTGGTGGTGGTGGTTAGTGAATACGAAGCTAGGCGGGATGGTTGCAAAGTGTGATTGGTTGCTGGGGAGGGGCTTTATTTGAATCACCTTTATCTTTGGGTTTTCCCGCCTGAATTACAACTGAATAGTGACACAGCACTATTCTGGCCTGGATCATGTCTGTATCTCAATAAACAAATCACTGCCAAAGAGAGTGTTGTTGAGAGTAACTTGACCAGGAGTCTGAGCGGAAATCACTTCCCTTTTCCTGCACGTGTTAGCTATGTTCTCTCTGGTTGCAGCAACACCGCTCAAGGGGGCAAGGTTGGGGTGGGAAGAGGGGAGCTCCTCTGCTTTCCCACTCAGGCTAGCCAGCTTACTTTTGTCCTGGACTAGCCTCTGCAATGCTAGGGACAAGAGCCAACCGGCAGGTTTTGGCGGGCTTTTCCTCCCATCTCCCATTCAGGTTGGTTGGCTTTTTCTGGTACCTGGCCACAGTATGGCATGACTAGAGCAAGCCTCCCCCTGCCCCAGGCTGAATGGGTGGTGGCAGTGGGGGGGGGGGTAATGCCCAAGGCCTGGGGTAGCTTACATTCAGAAGTGAAGATCCCCATTTGCAGAGTCAATCAGAACTCTTCTGGCCAATCTGAAGCCCTGCTGGATGCAAGCCACTGTTGGTCCCACCCACTTCCTGAAAATGTCTGAAAATGCCCAGCGGGTGTCCTAAAAGGTGTCTGCAGGTGCCCTAAAAGGGTCTTGCAGGCTATGTATTCCCCCCCCCCCTTGTATGGGAACTCAAAACTCCCTTACGGAGAAACCAAAGTAAATAATGGAAGTCCAGTAGCAATCCTTGCCTAGAGAGCCAACAGGCACATAAAACAACATTACCTTGTTGCATGGAATGGGATGCCTTGCCAAGTCCATTAAAGGCTGATAATCTTCCTCGCTCATGCTGCACGGATGCTTGTACATAAACGCTGATAGTAAGAGTCCTGAAATACTATGGCAGTCCTTGCCTCTACAGGAAGATACAAACATAGGGAGAATGCTTGGTATTCTACGTAGCCATTCTTAAATCAAAATGCTGTTAAATAAAAATTGGGTACCATGAAAACATTAGTTATATTTAAGCACAATGTACACTTGAGAGCCTGATTTCCCACTGTCACACTGTGTGAGATATGGCGTATTGCTGTCCAAGAATACTGCTTTTGTTTAGCATATTTTGTTGGAGTGAGCGACTTGGAATGCCTGAACGTTGGGGGGGGATGCTGCATCACTCTAAGGGTGTGTTGGTGTTGTCTCCTTGCATAGGATGCCTCTCTTTGTCTTAACCTGTGTCATGGCTCAGGTGGGGTGTCACCTGATGCTGCCACCACTCTGGATTTAGCTTCCCTTGAGAAGGCCCAGAGCACCCTCCCAAGACCTTCAGACCTCCATTTTGGCCGAATAACAGGCGTGAGGACCAGGCAGGGTGAAACAAGGAAAAGGTTTATTTTATACGAGGTCAAACAACAAGGTGCAGAATAATAACAGTAAGTGGATGAAAAGAAAAGAAATCAAATGCCCTAACGCGTCTAAATATATACTGTCCCTAGCTCACTCGCTCAAGTGGCCTTACACTACTCACCCCTCCCTCAGGATGAGGGTTTTTCCCCTGCAGCAGCCTTCCTGGCTCTGCCCTCTGGAAGAAAGAACAGCTCTTCCTGCTGCTCCAGAACTTTTAATTCAAGCCCTCCTCTTTTCCTATTGGTCCATTTTGGCTCCAAAACCTCCCAAGGGCTTCTGGGAGTTGTAGGCTACCTACTGCTAGCCAGGCTCCTTGGGCCTAGTAGGCCTCTGGTGGCACAGCCCAGATCATGACAACCTGGGAGCTGCCCTCCGACCCCTCCTCTTTCAGTCCCTTGGTTTCCATACTGTATGGAAATGTTACACTTGAAAGACGCATAGAGAACTATCAATCCGAATGCCAGAGATTATACCGTCTTTTCTGACAGACATCAAATATATCTCAGAATCAATATGTGCTGGGTATCTAAAACCTCAATTATGAATTTGGAGAGTGTTGGGATCTGACCAAAGGTATTTGCAGATCACAACCCACTAGTGGCAATTTGGCAAGGAAATGAAATCAGAAGAAGATGGAGACTGAACAACAATCTTCTACTGTAGATTTTTATTTAATAAAAAGATGTGGAAAAATATAGAAGAATACTTCAGATTAAACCTTACAGAAGAGCCAAAGCAAGAAGCAAAAAGGTCCGGAGGGAATATTTTGCAGGTTAAAAAACATAATTAAAAACTCCAATCAACTTATGAAAAAACACAACCTACAAACAGTATTCAGACCCACCAGAACAATACAATAGATACTATGATCGGCAAAAGACAGAAGAGACCACCTCACTTCTGCAGGAGTATACCACATACCATGCAGTTGTGGACAAGTTTACATCGAGACCACACAGTGTGGCATTCAGACAAGAATAAAAGAACATGAAAGACACTGCAGACTTGGCCAACCTGAAAAATCAGCAGTGGCTGAACATAGCCTAATTTAAACAGGAAACAGTATTTTGTTCCAAGACACTGAAAGGCTGGGCAACAGATTACACAGGGAAGCCATTGAAATTCACAAACATAAACACAATTTCAACAGGAAAGAAGAGAGTTTAAAAATAAATAGGGCATGGTTTCCTGTTCTAAAAAACACAAAAAACTCTACACCTGACACTACAGATAAGATTAGAATTTGAACAGCCAATCCACATACAAAAGAACCTCCTCAGGAAACAGGAAACCGTCAGGAAACAATCCATATGCAAAAGAACCTCCTCAGGAAAGCTCCTCCATTAGCATGTTCATAGCCTGGGGAACTCCTACAAGATAATGACTCAGCTTTACCTCACCTTCTGGAGTAGATATAAATTACCTGCCTACAATTTTCTTCTCACCTTGACACAGAGAGTACTCCATCTTTCTCTGTTATACCTCTGAGGATGCCAGTCACAGTTACTGGCGAAACATCAGGTCCTACAATGCCACAACCACGGCCTCACAACCTGGAAAATCTACAGCAACTAGAGTATTAACAGATAGATTTCAGATAGAAAGTGGGATGCATCAAGGAGGTCTGCCCACTTCTATTTATTCTTGCATTGGAGGTGTTGTAAGATAAGACAAGATCCAAAAACTGAAGGATTGAAAGTAGAGGGAGAAGAATTTAAACTGAAAAGCTATGCTGATGGTGTGGTTGTGAAAATTTTAAATCCTTATCTTTCATTTCAGTATGTAATGGAACAAATTGAAAAACATGGGCCCTTTTCAGGATATAAAATTAATAAGAACAAACTGAAAATAATCCTAAAATTCCTAACAGAACGGAAAGAAGAAAGAACTGAGAAAATTACAGGATGTAAAATAACATCAAATCCAGTCATATATCCGGGAATAAATCTGACAGGACAAAATGATGCACTATTTAAAGACAACTATTAAATAGTTTTGATGAAAATACAAAAAGATCTGGAAAGATGGTCTAAATTGAAAATATCATGAGTGGGAAGAATGTCTACAATAAAAATGAATATATTGCCAAAAATAAATTTCTTACTTCAGATGTCAACAATTAATATACAAGAAAAGACTTTGGGGGACTGGGAGAAACAAATAAATATTTTAATAAGGAATGGCAAAAAACCAAGAATTAGATTCAAGGTTTTACTAGATGAAAAAAAAAAGAGGTGGCCTAGCAGTACGTAACATCAAATTATATTACAAAGCAGCTGGCCTGGTTTGAATTACAGATTGGATTAAAAATCCAAATGAAAGATGAATAGAATTAGAAACATCAGATTTGGATGAAGGAATACATCGCTATTTTTGGATTAAGAAAAAACACAATGCAACTAAAAGTCATGTAATCAGAGACAGACTGTTTAAAATATTGGAGACTATAATAAGAAGAATTAGTCCTCCAATATCACCGGTAATGTCATCAATAGATGCTTATTACAACATATATGAGGAAAAATAATGATTATATAAAATATGGAGACATGATAAACTCACATGGAGAAATTAAGTCTTGGCATACAAGAAAGAAGGAGAGAAGGTACAGTGGCTAGTGTACTTTCAATTCCAGACTCAAGAAAGATGTCAATATAGACGGAGGCACGAGATTTGACAGAATTTGAAAAGACAATCATACAACAAAAAGATCATTTATTAAGACAAATTTACAAATTGTTATTGCAATATGATACAAAGACAGAACACGTTAAAATGTGTATGAAAAATGAATGCAGAATTTCAGTGAAGCGATATCCTGTCAAATCCTGGACTCAGTCACTCTCATGACACTCTTGTTGCAGCAAGATTTGTTTATTGGAAAGTAAAGAGATTCCAAACATAGACCAATTCTGTGTCAGAACTGGCCACCGGATGCCAGGTCCGACCCTATACAAAAAGGGCAGCTCCTCTATGCAAACCACCCAATCAATGTTTGCACTCAGCCCACCAAAGCTCTAGGCGTACCCTCTGGGCCGGCCCAACACCTGTAAACTAACAGTTACATCTCATGGTCAGGCAAAAAGCTGAGACCACGCCCATCCCAGGGTCCCGTACGTACTATGCAAGCTCAAGCACACATTCACCCCAGCATTCACTCCCCCCCCCCGGCAGAGAAGATAAATGGCATGGGAGATAAAAGCACGAAAGAAGCATGTTTAAGAAAACAGTTAACCCCTAATCCCTAACAGACCAGGAGTTTGCTTGGACAGCATTTTATGGCTAGCGAGGCCCGAGCTTGACACCTTCAACATTGAGAAAACTATGGATATAAGATATAAAATTCACAGCTAGCCAAGCATTACAGGAAAATTGGTATAAGATGTTTTACTGTTGGTATATTATCCCAAAAGATATTGAGAAGATGGATAAGAATTGGAAATGTAAAGAGGTGGATGGCACTTTCTACCATATGTGGTGGACATGCAAAAAGATGAACAAATATTGGAAAGAAACAGACGTAGAAATTCAGAAAATTGGACTTCCGGTGGATGGCAGCATGCTGAGCAGTCGCATCTCCCGGACCTCACGGGGATGCGAGCTGCGCACGAGCGGGAAGGAGGGGGTATGCAGGCTCATTGCCCCCCAAGAAGCCCGGCGAAGGGCTTCTAGCCATGGGGCTTATGAGAGGTCGCCTCTTCGCCAGCGCGATGCTGGGGAATTGATGCACCTCTTCGCCCCGATGGTCCCTCCTGCAAGTGACCGTATGGAACCTAGTGACGCTGACCGGGACAAGCGCTGGGGATCGAGCGGCCGAATCAGAGACTAAGCGAGGTCAGAAGACCAATATGAACGTGAGTCAGAATAAAGCGTCTTTGGCAATTTAAAAAGAAAGCTCCCCACCCCACGGACCGAGAAGGGAAACGAGTGGGAGGAGGGGCTCCTCCCATGTGCATGTACTTTTAAGCGAAAAAATGGGGGGGGGGCGGAAGCGAAAGCGTTGAAATCTCTTGAGAAAAACTTACCAAGGCGTGTATGAACGCTTGAGCACACATTCAGAGACTTTAGA